CTGTCCCTACCTCCCCAACTTTTTCGAAAATTTTCTGGGCACTGGTCTAGAAAACATTTTAAACTAACGGTTAAGATTGTTGCCGGATAATTTTTCCCGTATAATTTTGCATGCATCAAAAACAAGTGTGGTTGATTCGAACTGCATCGTTTTCTTCATCTGCGATTGCTCATCACCCATCGGTGACCACACAACATTTAGCGATAATACACCCATTTTGCGTCCCGTAATTCCTTCTGCTCCTGGATACTACAGCTCGCCAGTCAAAAGAGCAGCCTGAGCTTCTAAAGTAAAGGATAAATCAGCGAAGCTGTACATATGCACATGAAGAACACTTCTCCATGGGAAAGTTTCACCACATACTTGATCAAAGAATGAGGCAGAGGTATGAAGTTGTGAGGAGATACTTCTTAATGGACTGAAACATTTCTTACCAATTACAAATAATTTTATACCCCCTTCCTCTTTTTTCCACTCCGTTCTCGTTCTCTTTTTTTTCCTTCTCCTCATTTTCTACCTTATCTTTAAATACACAAATTAGCCGACTAAAACATCAAAATCATACATACTTAATCTTGCTTAATTTACGCTCAGTCTTTTACATGCTCCTTTTCAGGGAAGAAGTGCGGAATGGGAAGGGCAAAGAAATTTGCTTGTTTAAATTCAGTAACTGAACAGGAGGCACGCGCAACGAAAAGTGGGAGAAAATAACCAATAAAAAGAGCAGCAATATGTGTCATGAAAACTTCCCTTGGAAGGCACAAAAACACGGGAAATGCAAATTTTAAGCTAATTCATCCACAAAAAACAAAAAATCGCAAAGCGAGCGGTCTTTTGAGAGAAAGAAGAGGGAACGATGAGTTTTGCATACTGTCAAAAAACTAGTTCCTCAATGAGGAGTAAAAGCCGCTTCATGAAAACGCTCGCAAATGACAGAATAAGACTAAGCTTTCAAACACTTCAGTTCAGGCACCTAAAGAATTCCAGATTAAGTCTACGACGCCCACAGCAATTAGCTTAAAGATGATAAAAGTTGACGATTTTCTCGCCAGTGATTACGGCAAAATGTAATGGCCGTAGCTTTATTCACATACAATTTAGAGATTTCAAATTCAGCTCCTAAGCATGTTTGATTTCCACGTACGGGCACGTGAAATTTTTGGCAGGAAAGTGCTAACTCGAGAGCCAGAACAGTTGGAAAGCTGAAATTTTAAAGAGATGTTTCCTGTCCAAGTACAAGTTAAAGGTTTCAGATTCAAGTTCTAAGCACTCTTCGTTTTCACACACAAGTACTAGAAATTTTCGACGCGAAAATTACTAAGCTGGGCATTAGAATAGCTAGTTCATTTCCAATGCATGACTGGTCACCAGAATTATTCATTTCCGCTCATCCAAAAATTTACGGTAATGACTGCACAAGTTAAATGTAAAGCAACAACCATTCATGTGGTTAACGATCTACTGTTTCATGCTTAGTGCCAAAACGCATGATCGCACCAGTAAGCCTGGTGAGTCGCAGCCTAGGTTTTTCCTTCGCATTTCATGATAAATGAAAATATAGTATCTCTCTCTGGAACTAACTGGTATAACTCGCGTTAAACAAAAGCACTTAAACTGCTGCTATATGGGCTGTTCACTTTAAATCAGTACTTTTTGTCAACATTTATACGTCCACTGCACTAGTGTAAAAAAAAAAAAACACAAAAGTAACATGTTAATAAACCTTAGAACTCACTAAAATTACGGCTTCACCTGTCCCCAGCTGCTTTTTTCGTTCTCCATTTGTCAAATCATCCCGATTTTGGAGCTCCGGTTGAAGGCCGCGGGAGTTCAGAAGCACTGTGTAGCCTTTTGTGCTAAGTAGTTGCGGTTGCGCCCAAAAAAGGTTCGATGGGTGTAATCGCAACTACTTAGATGTAGCAGGAAATTCTTGAAAATGTTGAAATGCACCCGAGAGACCTATGAAACTGAAAATTTCATTTTGTGAACCGACTAAAATTTCGCAAAACATTTCTGCTGGACCGCTGTAAAAATCAAGATCAAAGGTGGGAACGCTTTTCATTCACATAAAGCTTATGCCAAAAGCAACTACCCGCTGAAAAGGCTATCCATGGTTCTGTATATCGAAGGGGATTGCTTAGAACCAAGCTGATAGCCGATGCCCACTCGGTGTGGTACGAAATGGCAAAAAGGCCGGAAAGCAATAAAATCTAAAGCACCACTTTATGAAAGATTTGGCGGCGGACAAGAATAAACTGAAGGAGAGGCAGCAGGTTGAAGGTGAA